CTTATTTGTGAAAGACGCTCTCGTCAATCATGTTATTTCCCGTGAACCGTGAAACTCAAAAATTAATTGCCGTGATTCGTGATTTACTATTTTTAATAGCCGTGAACTGTGCGCAGGACCCCCCCTTACGGACCCTCCTAGAATAAACATTTTGGGCCGCCTCTGTCACCCAAAATAAAGGTACGTCAATGTTCAGTGCCGGATCCAGACCTTGGGATAAGGAGGGGGGGGCGGTCATCCAGACCCTGAGACAAGGTGGGGAGGGGGGCGGTCTCCAAAAATTTTTTCAGCCCTTCCAGCTTCAGTTTTGTCTAAAAATAAGGGGGAGTCCGGGCCCCCTGGGCCCCTCCAATGGATCCCCCACTGATGTTAGTTAACGTTGTAATTCAATGCGGTGGTGGATATTTAGGTGGATATTTCTTTAAACAATTCCGCCTAAAAACGGATTCCAACTGGGTGTATTCCACCCTCACAAGGTTTTCCTCACATTTTTCCTTAGGAAACAACCACCTCTCTTCAGTGACTGTTCCAAGAGACCAGGGGATGAGCCGCTTCCCCTCCCGGTTTTTACCATGTTTGTTTGTACTTCCTATGATTAATCTGGCCAACAGGAACTAAAATTTAACAACAATTAATGAATGAGGCTGAGTATCTTATGAAGAATTATAAAGAGATCGAGGAGGGTGTTATCCGTCGAGGCCGTAGGCCTAGGCGGATAACACCCTCCGGGATCTCCATAATTCTTCATATGATATTAAGTTCATCCTCGATAGTGCACGTTTAGGGTTTTTCAGCTCTGCAAATATTCTCCAAATAGCAGATGTCGCCCTTAGGGTTGTCTTCGTGCTGTTCTTGCCATGTTTTTAGCTATTTTTTCGCCAAGTTCTTACTCTTGAAACGAGTGAAATGTCCACCATTTATCAAGTTCACAACCAAAACAACTCAACCTCGAACCCAGGTCTTCTCGGTTAACGGTGCATTAACCTGCAAGGACGCTGCATTTTTGACGCCATTTCCTCGCTAAACACAAAATTCTTCCAAATTTGGTCATCAGTAACTGGTTATGGTGAATTAAACGTGTGCTTTTAGCCAATCAGAATCGGGGAAATATTTTGAATGAATAACAATGTAATCAATCACTCCCCTCTCGGGCTGTATCCTCTCTCGTAATAAGCGGAATCCTTGTTTACCTTTAGAAGGCAGAACATCAATAGTGGTGACCCCGTCAAACATCCCTGCAGTCGTTGCAGACTCCCATCACCTTTGTTAGGCCTAAGGACTGCTTACACATCTACTGGGTTTACCTGGTCCACAAGCTCTTAGATGTAAATAATTACTACCAGCATATATGCTTCAGGTAGTACTTATAAATGCGGTAAGCTTAAAAGCGGGTCCCGACGGAAAAGAAAAATGAGACCTGTCACAGACTAGTGATTTGAAAAAAAATCACACCTAGTAAAGAAAGATCACGACTTGTTTACCTTTGGGAAGCAGAAGCTCAACAGATGTGACAGTTTCCACGGTAAAAAACCCTGCACTCATTGCAGCACAAACGTAATTCCCTGCATCCTCCTTTTTCGTGTTTCTGATAAATAACACACCATTGATCTCCTGGCTTCGTCCAACTGGAAGTTGTGCTCCTTGTTTTTTCCAGTTCACGATTGGCTGAGGATCACCGGTAGCAGTGCAGTTCAAAGTAAATGTTTCGCCAATCAACGCGGTAACTTTTTCTGGTGGCTTTACATTGAATTTAGGGAGGGAGACCACAACTAAAACAGTTCGTTTTACTACAGTTCCTAACGGATTAGTAGCAATGCAGAGGTAGTTATCAGAATCAGCCTTACGGACTCCAGACAGTTTGATGACACTGTTGTTACTGTCTACCCTCCCCTGGGGTAGCTGACCAAATGACTTACTCCATGTGACCAGTGGCGTAGGATAGCCGGTCACGTGACACACTGGTAGAGTTGCATTACTTCCTTCAACGACGTAAAAGGGTCCCGGATTAAGAGATACGGAAGGCCGAACTGCAAAACGAAAGAATTTCATGTCATTACGACACTTGTTGCTCTTCGTGGGAGTAAAACATGTTTATTGTGCCAATTTCAGGCTTGATGTAGCTTTTAATGTTGATCCAATCAAGACAAAACGAGTGAAGTATTCGCCGCATAAAAATGGCCTAAAGTAGCAGCTAGCACTCGTAGGCTAAAAAATGAGCAAAATAGAAATGTTCTTACTCTCAGCCTGAGGTATACTTTAAGTATGTTCTAAAAAAGGGTTCGTACAAAAGATCTTAATAAGCAAAGGTTTAGTTATGAGGAAACAAATGAAATATAACGCCGATAAGAACGAAAGACGTTTCGGTGTCATGTTGACGCCATTTTCAAGTTCAAAGTGATTGCTGATAAACTGACAAAAAAAAATTTTGAATGGTCATTAGCATATATGAAATATGCAAAGTCACGCAAAAAGTTTTACTCGAATTGAGCCCGATTGGACAGTTAGAGAAGGTGTTAGTTCCCTAATTAGCAACATTACGTGCACTAAACAATCGAACTTGTTGTTGCTAGTTGTGTTCTTTGCCCTTTTAATTTTTCTTGACCAAACTACCGACGAACCGACTTTACTTTTTGTGTGATTGTGATCCTTATCAGGTATAGTACACGAACCCAATGCAAGGTTAAAAAAGACAAACATCACGTCTAGATTAATTAATTAAGTACCTATCCAAGGTTTCGTCAATTTGTCAAATGCTTGCCTACGTAAAATAACAGGATCTTATTTAATTTTCAGAGTGAATAAATTTTTATTTATGGTATAGTGCTTTCACATGCCTCTGCTCTTTTGACACGATGTGTCCATGAACTCACCATTCACTACCAAATGACCAACTGCGTGCGCCCGTCCCAAGATGTTTACCGCTGAACATTTATACACACCCGCATCACCTCCTTTCAAGTTCTTTAAGAGCAGAGTTCCTCCGGCAACCGCTGACTGGTTTATTTTTGTTTGACTGTTCAATTTACTCCATGTTATTGAAGGCCTAGGATTCCCAGTAGCTGAACACTGAAACTTGGCTGATCCGCTTTCGTTTACAGTCGACCTTGCAGGAGAAACAGCAACAGAAGGTGCTGAAATTGATTCACCAGGCTCTCCTTTAGATCCCGGCATGCCCGCGGGCCCCATGTCTCCTTTTTGTCCTTTAGGACCAGCTTGGCCAGCCAGCCCAACAGGTCCCATAATACCTTGCTTGCCGCTTTTTCCTGGTGATCCCATGATGCCTTGATCTCCTTTTTTTCCAGGTTTCCCTCTGTGTCCTCTTCGTCACCGGGCTCCTTTCTCCCCTCTAGGTCCAGGTGGACCTGGAGGGCCTGCTAATGAGCACGTGACACCTTTTGAATGGCAAAGTTGCAATTTGCCTTCTGATAAAAGTTTGTTGATTTTATGCATCGTCGGGTCCACAGAATTTGGGCTGGTTGCATTGATTGAATCAACTTGACGCTTATAGATTCCGTTTCTATGAACCTCTAGACAGGCAAAAAAAAAACAAGTTTGATTATTGTTATACAGTGCGAATTATACCTGATATCTAGGATTATGACCTAAATTTCGAGGTGATACGCTTTTGACAAATCATTTAATTCATCTTGCCTATTTCAACTGCCTATTTGGAATGTATTTTTTACTACACTCGCTAAGTACATGATTAATTTTTTTACTGCCCTCTTTGCGATCAATTAATTAAATACCGTAGAGAACTTAAACAACTTTCAAGACGTTGACAGCAAAACTGCCTCTAATAAAGTACAGAAACACCTAAAAGAAACGTCCCTTAAAATATCTGTTCCTGCAGACCGGATAGGGAAAATTTCCTTTAGTATTTTTCTGAAACAAAAATAATCACACGCAGCAGTCATTCTGTAAATGCTACGCGGTAAAATAAGATTGAGATCGAAGGGAATTCTACAAAAGTTCTAAGATTGCTTGTTTTCCTTGTTTTGTTTTTCTTTTCTTTTTTTCTGTTTTTTCGTCTGGCAAACTGTAGGTTTACCCTCTGACTGGGAATTTTCCCATCCGTCAGGAGGAAACTGGGGAGTGAAGAAAAGGTATATTTTTCCAGCATTTTCAGAAAACTGTTAAAATTGCTTTGATAAACACAATCTATGCCTTATTATAGTTATTAATTCATTTTCATTTTTGTGCAAAAATCCTCTTTATGAGCCCCTGAAAGTTTATCTGTGCACTTTTAAACTTTTAAACGAATTTTTTCCCTTGACGCTTTGCGTCTCGTTTTCGCCAATTGGATTGAAAACAATGTCGATGGAAGAGGTTGGTGGTTCGTTTGAACTCTTATCCACTTAAACTTAAATTGCGAGCCGGAATGCAAATAACTGCAGTATCACACTAGAAAGGTTAGTCGTCGTATGAGAAAATTCGGTCATGATGTCAGCGTAAAACCCTGCCGACTGCCCGTACAAACTCTAGGAGTAGGGGTAAAAAAACTCAGCAGGGTAGGGAAGAGAGTCCCGGGCATGCACGTTGCATCTCGTTATTGACGCAAAATTAAGCATTTTAGGGGGAACCAACGCAGCTGCTCGAGCAAAAATCTAGATTGAAGTTCTTGCAGAAAATCATTAGGCTCGTTAAAATAGCTATAAAAATGTTCTGAAAACATAGCCCGAACGAAAAATCCTAATGATGCCTACAGTTTCGAAGACTATCAGCCATCTTCCTCAAAACTAAAAACGTCACAGGTGTCAGTAGCCCTAAATAGGCTTCTGAAGGTGTTAACTGGGACAAATGCGCAAAGTTACTCTGTCGAGGCCACGCCTCCCCCCTGGTTGGCGGTGGAAATCACTTAGGTCCATATAGGAGATAGCTGGTATGCTCCCTCATCCCTCATACTCAACGTTTGAATGGATAGATAGAAGTTTCTTGTGTTTGACAAAATTTTTGCTTTTTGCCTGGTCACACTTGTGGTCACATTCCAGGAACAACCTAGTGTTCTTCCCTCAGCCCCAGGGTACAAGTGTGTTGCTTCCTCATCTCGTGTTTCCGACAGTTGTTTTGGTATTGAGAAGTGTTTTGTTGTTTGCAAAATTTTTTTTTTTTGGCCGTGCTCCCCTTTTGTGAAAATCCCGGGAACAACTCATGTTCTTCCCCCCGCCCCCCCCCCCCCCCCCCCCCCCCACCACTTGGTAAAAATCTTGAAAGTTAATTTATGGGTGAAAACTTACGCAACATTTAGAAATTTGTTTGCCGACAGACTTGTGGACAAATGAAACGTATGTTCCATTTCCGTTAAGTTTTAAAATTATCGTGTTCTTGTACTGCCGCCACAAAATGAAGTACAACTGCTGCCAAGTTTCGTTTCTCTGCAACTGAATTGTTTATTTGGTTTTTCGTCGAGGAAAAGTTTCCGAAAGGCATTCATGGCTGCGTTAGTATGATAGTTCATAAAGGCTCTTTCGGCGGACTACAGAAAAGTCTTAAAACATTTCCAATTTTTTAGTCTTTGTGTTCTTCTACTGCCGCCACAAAATGAATCAGCTGCTATCAAGATTACTAGGGAAGGTCATTTATACGAAGTTTTTCTCGTCTAAGCTAAGGCGCGTCTTATCTAAGAAACAGGTGTTAAGGGCTGTTCTAAAATAAGACGCGTCTTATTTTAGACGAAATGTGCCGTTTGTACGGAAAGTTCGCGTCTTATTTTTCCTCGTATAAATGACCCTAATGTTGCGATGTGTTATGCGGCTTTTTTTTCTTTCGCGGACTGTGTCAGAATGACGCGTCGTGAATGAAATGTCTGAAAATGGGTTCATTCTCGCCGAAAAGAAATTGAATATAAGATTTGTCGATTATTTTACCGACAGACTCGTAACTTTGCTGCAGTCCAGTGTAGTTTAAGTCTAGGGCACATTTAGCCGCATTAAAATACACATTACGCAAAGGGAAGTTTGTGTGAAGACTACAAAATTATGGTTATTCATAGGGAGAAATGTTGAACAAGTTGTCAACCTTACGATGTTTCTTCGCCAGAAAAAAAAAAGACAAACAAACAAACACCAAAAGTTGCTGAGTATTAGATGTGATGATGTGTAATCCAAAAGACAGTTTACACGTAACGAATTTGTGGGTCCGATTTTGCAAAGAAATCATATCCTTAACACAAAAATGGGCTTAACTCACCATATGGGTAGGGCCTTTGAGACGGAAAGATTGACCAATGACAATCTCTTGCCAATAAACATAGACTTTGAACAGGAGGCAGACTAACAGTTTCGTAAATGACATCCTTTCATGTATACGTATGAGTAAGAGTTCCTTTCCAAGACTATATAACTGTGATCGAATTCGATTTATAATTTTCTCTTTTTGTTTTAAAATCAGTTAAGTAGAAATTTCTGGATTAGCCCATAGGTGGAAGCTTATTCGTGTAATTTTTTTGGTTTCCGCAATTAAAAGTATATAAATAGACACTTCGCTTTTAATCTTGGCTAAATCTGTAGTTGTAGGGATAAACTCGTGATCCTCCTTCAGGTCCTTTAGGTGTCGTAATGGCTACCTGGAAACAGTGTATATAGTTTTTATAAAACTGAACACGGAAAAACGAAAACGATACTTAGTTGCCCCGGTGGGTTAATCAGTCATTGAAGCTACGTTCACACTATAATTGGGTTTAGTATGAAGTGCAACGGCACAGACGTCACAGAACTCGAACAAAACGTTCACACGTCATCGATCATCGTGCCGAAGCAACTGGCCGAGAGGGTTTGGTGACCTAAATCGTCTTAGTTCTCAGTCCAGTCCTCATTTCTACTTTCGCTACGATTCACACTACATCAAAGTGTGGCACAGCATCTATCCGACAGGTAACACTGTACTTTCGCAATCTGCAAGGCGGTGCTTTGCATCCCTTACAAGCGGAAATCGCCCCGAAATCACGGTTTTTATGTGTTAACAGAAGCCTTATCTGGTGTGTGTTTTTACCCGTGCCGGCGAAAGAGCTATCTGTAAAGTGTGAACATATGACAGTGGAAATGATCCTTGCATGCAGTTGAATGTTGAACTTTTTGACTAGGTAACTGTTGCTCCGATGAAATTGCCTTCATGATTGCCTTCATAATTACCACGAGAAATTTCGAGAGCGCGATCTAAAGACCTTTGGAAAGAGGGTCACCTCAACAAGCAAAAACCAACACGCACACACACATATCCCGATAGATGCAATTGCGAGGAAAAGGAAAGAACAAGCTAGCTATTAGCTGGAATAAATAACTGTAATTTTGTTGAATCTTTCAAAAATTGTCAACTTTACCAAGTAAAAACAAACCTAGGCTGAATTAAAAACAAACTTACGCTGAGAAATGTTGGTTATTGTTGAGTGTAGTTCATTTGATGGAGTCTCAGTCTCTACGACGATTTCAAGAGCGTTAATTCTCTTCTTCTGTTCGTTTAGTTCCAGTTCAACTCTTAAAAACCCAGCACAGTAAAACCCAATAGACAAAACAGAAAGAATTGTGGCAAAGGAGGGCGCACATTGCTTTTGAGTTGCCATGTCGGTGATATCCGCACAGTTAAGTTATTTCTATCTAGTGCTGGGGGTTTCTTAAATTGAAATGATTCAGCTATCGTGTACAACTTTTAGAAATTTGCCTTTTTCCAGTTTCCTTCTTTTTAATCAAACTTCCTGTATGTCTGAAGGAAATAAATTTCAAGTTCATTTTGCACATGCTCGCATTAGAATTAACAAGAGGTGAGGCATTAAAATAGGATAAATACTTGAGTATAAATTCAATCGGGAAAACCAAGAACTGTAAGAAGTTCTTAAAAACATGATTACACCGTAAAAAGTAAAAAAAAAAACTGTATTCCACTGTCCGAGCCGACAGTCTTACAGGGTTGACACGTTTAAACCACGTCAACTGTTTGAATGACCAATTACAAAGGCACAAAAAGCCTACGTCCTACATGTACTTGGACCTAAATGGGTCAGCAAACTCACTTACGCATGATTTACCTTTCACAAAAGGCGGGCCCCAGGAGAGGTCCAGCACATCGGGGCTCAGGGGTGGGGAATTGATTTGAAGTGGTCCTAGTCCCGGCGGGTGTAGGAGGTAGGGCAACTCCTCGTTGAGTTGTTCTTGTTAACTAGGTCATTTCTTGGCTGACATGATGGCGTCGGACCTAGTCCGCACAGCAGGCGCTTGAAATAATGGGCGCCCATTGTTTTCAAGCGCTTTCTACACAGGCTACGACAGATCACGTGGAAGCCATCTGGTTAAAGCACAGCTAGGTACACCAAGCTCATTGGGTGAAACTTACCATGTGGCGAGTTGTTGTTGTCCTTGATTTGTAAACAAGTTTCGGGAAAAATAGTCTACTTGAAGGAAAGGCTTCGTGTACATATTAAGGACAACAACAACTTGCCACATTGTAAGTTTCATCGATTTATATTTCCATTTTCGAGCAAATTTCCAGACCTAAACTTCGCCCCATATGTT